TAGGCTTGTGCTCTTTGCTCTTCAGCCACACCTCAGTCTCCTGTTCAGCATCTTTCTCTTTTACCTGTCCATAAACTAATCTCTCTAAGACCACCGGTCAGGAGACAAGTGTTCCCTACCATCCATCTACCCTGGACCCCATCACGATCTTTCATGTCCCTCCCTTTTCTCTGGCCTCTGAGTCCTTGCTCATTTTACATTAGACCTGTCCATTCCTGGCCACGCCTCCCAGCTAGCCAATCTCTCACTGGCCTCCATCACTCCCCCCACCCACCCCCACTTTGCGGGCCCACAGCCTCTTTTTTGTCTTAGCCCCACCTCTCCTTTGGCCACGCCCACTTACAATCCTTCTTTACAAATCCCACTAGCTTTCAACCCTCTTCCCCCCCCCCACCACTTAACTAATTGTCTTGATTAGCTGACGTCTTTGCTCCCTTCTCTTCTCTCCAGATTGTTTATCCAAATAGTTTTGGCTTAGCTGCTCCTGGAGCCACACCCCCCTACCCCTCCCCTTAGCTCCCCAGCCTTCTTAACATCTCTAACCAGACCCTGCTGCCTTTTGCACGTCTAGCTTCTCTTAGAGGTGACCTCGTCGCATTTGGGTCCCGCTTAACCGCTGACCAGCCGCCACTCCCCACACCCCGGCCGCTGATCTGTCCCCACCCACCTGTCTGCAGTACTCCAGCGCACGCTGGGGGTCCCGGAGACAGCGCTGTGAGTGCTGAGAATCTGGTTCCCAGCGGCCCGTGCGCAGATCTCGGTGAAGGGTTAGGTGCCCACATAATCCAGCCACCTGGGCAGACCCTGGAGCCTGGAAGTGGAGGCAGACAGGGCATTGAGGACCCAGTGAGGCAAGTGAAGCACCTGCTCTTGTACCCCAGATATTCAGACCTCTGCCCATCAGCCCAGAGCCCTCTTCCTCTAAGGACCTGGGTGAAGGGTTCGTTCCCGGGGAAACAGCTCTCTTTAGGGCGGGGGCGCCCCCGGCTCTCCCGTTGCTATGGCAACCCAGGTCCCCCTTCCTCCCTCCCTCCCCCCTCTCCCGGGTTTCTTGCGGCCTTGTTGCTGCGGAGACAGGCTCCACCTCCACCCCCAGAGCAGCGGATCTGGAGCACCTCCCCCTCAGGAAGGGGTTAAATCTGAATCGTGCGACAGGAGTGGGGGAGGAGGCCCCAGAACCCAGGTGTCCCGGCCCCCTCCTCCTCCCTCCATCCCTAGATCAGGCTCCCATAGCAGAGGGGTGCAAAGATGACACACAGGGCCTGGTTCTCCCGCAGGCCTGCATAACAGGCCTTTGCCGACCAGAAAGCTCCCTCCCGGTTGGAGGTTGGGGGTTGGGAGTACTGTTGGGAGGCCTGGATCACTGGGTTCTAGAAGCTGGACTAGGGATGGAGAGGGTGTAAGATCCTGGCCTGGATTCTGGGATCCGTGTACCCTGGCTGCTGGTGGGGGCAGGAGGTGGAGGGAAAGAGGGGTGAATCGTATGTTCAGGTGTTGAGGGGCTGGGGTCTGGAGAGAGGGTCTGGAGGCGGGGAGGGTTGCTGAAGACCAATCCCTAACACTGCAAAGGATAAGAAGACCCGGGGAACTGACAGACAGACGATGGAAGGACTGGGGCCTGAAATCTTGGGGAGGGGGGTGGTTTCACAAATAACACATCTGTCTGGAAAAATAATCATTATAAACAACAACAACACCTGTGCTTTCTGCCCTTGGACAAGTCCGTGAATAGGGTAGAAGAGGGAGGGGAGGGTGTCCAGAGGTCAGGTCCTACCCCTTCCCCATCCCCTTCCACCCCCGTCCCTTCCCCCACCCGCGCCCTCCCCCCAGGCCTCACCTCGGCCCCACCGGGGCTCCCGATGGCCAGCTGCGCGCGCAGGAGGAGCAGCAAGAGAGACAGCAGCAGAGGTAAAGGTGGCGGCGGGCCCCGACCGCGATCCACCGGGTTGCAGGGCCCCATATCCCGGCCCTCACCTCCCGTCAGGTCCCCAGCACCCTTCACCCCACCCCGCCCCTGGCTTGGTCCGGGCCCAGCCC